GGCCTGCATAGCGTTGGGTTACGATTGTTTTGGGGCAATCAAGAACCGAAACCCAATTGATGGGGAACGGGTAGAATGCCCCACCCATAGAGCATTCCTAGGCCTATGACCTGGATTACGTTGGGTTACCGTCGTTTGGGGCAATCCAATGGCCCATGCCAAGGGTTGGGGAGAGGTGGAGCAACTCTCCCATCTGGTATTCCTAGGCCAATGACCTGGATTACGTTGGGTTACCGTCGTTTGGGGCAATCAAGTCCCCGAAACCTAAGTGGTGGAATCTATCCGGATTGGACCCCGGATGGGTTGGATCGAACCCATTCGGATGGAACACATCTGGATCTGGATCGATCGAACCCATTCGGATCTGGATTGATCGAACCAATCCGGATCCGGATCGATCGAACCCATGTGGATCAAAACCCATCCCGATCCGGAACAATTGAACTCATTCGGATGGAACCCATCCGGATCCGGATCAATCGAACCCATCCGGATCTGAGTCGATCGAACCCATTCGGATAGAACCCATCCTTATCGAAACCCATTCGGATCCAGGTCGATCGAACCCGTCCGGATCCGGATCAAATGAATCCTTTCGGGTCCAAACCCATCCGGATCCGGATCGATCGAATCCATCCGGATCTGAGTCCACCAAACCCATTCGGATCGAACCCATCCGGGTCTGGATCGATGGAACACATTTGGATCCGGATCAGTTGAACCCATTCGGGTCCGGATCGATCGAACCCCATCCAGATCCGAGTCGATCGAACCCATTGGGATCAAACCCATCCTTATCAACGCATCCGGATCCATATCAATCGAACCCACCCGGATCCTTGTCAATCAACCCCATTCGGATCGAACCCATCTTGATCCGAGTCAATCGAACCCATTCGGATCGAACCCCATCCGGGTCCGGATCGATCCCATCCGGGTCCGGATCGATCGAACCCATTCAGATTCGGATCAATTGAACCCTTTAAGATCCAAACCCATCCGGATCCGGATCGATCGAACCCATCCGGATCCGAGTCGATCCGAAACTAACCCATCCTTATCGAACCCATCTGGATCTGAGTCGATCGAACCCATTTGGATCCGGATAAGTTGAACCCATTCAGGTCGAACCCATCTGGGTCCGGATCGATCGAACCCATCCGGATCCGAGTCGATCGAACCCATTCAGATCGAACGCATCCTTATCAAACCCATCCGGATCCGGATCGATCGAACCCATTTGGATCAAACCCATCCGGATCCGGTTCGATCGAATCCATTCGGATGGAATCGATCCGGATCCGAGTCGATTGAACCAATCCGGATCCGAGTCGATCGAACCCATTCGGGTGCGGATCGATCGAACCCATTTGGAATCGGATCGATTGAACCCATCTAGATCCAGATTGATCGAACCCGTCCGGATCTGGATCGATCGACCGGGCCCCATTCGGACCCAAATCGATAGATCAGACCCATCTGAATCCAGCCCCATCCGGATCTGATTTCGATCGACCGGGCCCCATCCGGACCCCCATCGATCGACCGGACCCCATCCGGACCCCCGATCAATCGACCGGACCCATCCGGATCGATCGATGGAGCCCATCCGAATCCGACCCCATCCGGATCCGAATCGATCGACCGGACCCCATCCGGACCCAAATCGATCGACCGGACCCATCCGAATCCAGCCCCATTCGGATCCGAATCGATGGACCGTGCCCCATCCGGACCCCAATCTATCGACCGGACCCATCCGGATCGGATCGATTGAACCCATCCGAATCCGACCGCATCCGGATCTGAATCGATCGATCGGACCCCATCCGGACCCGGGCCGATCGTCCGGACCCATCCAAATCCAGCCCCATCCGGATTCGGATCGATCGACCGGGCCCCATTCGGACCCCGAATCGTTCGACCGGACCCATCCGAATCCAGCCCCATCCGGATCCGAATCGATCGACCGGGCCCCATCCGGACCCGAATCGATCGATCGGACCCATCCGGATCGGATCGATCAAACCCATCCGAATCCAGCCCCATCCGGATCCGAATTGATCGACCAGACCCCATCCGGTCCCGGGCCGATCGTCCGGAACCCATCCGAATCCAGCCCCATCCGGATCCGGATGGATCGACCGGGCCCCATTCGGACCCGAATCGACCGGCTGGACCCATCCCATCCAGCCCCATCCGGATCCGAATTGATCGACCAGGCCCCATCCGGACCCCAATCAATCGACTAGACACATCTTGATCGATCGATCGAACCCATCCGGACCCGGGCCAATCTTCCGAGCCCATCCAAATCCAGCCGCATCCAAATCCACCCTAGAGCCCACAAGCCCTTCCGGTGTTAGTCACTTTCCAACCGGGGCAAAAAGGGCTCTAGGGCGGGTGTGAGCCCTTTCGAGGCACAACACCACCCTAGAGCCCACAAGCCCTTCCGGTGTAGTCGATTTCCAACCGGGCAAAAAGGGCTCTATGGCGGGTGTGAGCCCTTTCGAGGCATGGCACCACCCTAGAGCCCACAAGCCCTTCCGGTGTAGTCAATTTCCAACCGGACAAAAAGGGCTCTAGGGCGCGTGTGAGCCCTTTCAAGGCACCACACCACCCTAGAGCGCACAAGCCCTTCCGCTGTTGTCACTTTCCAACCGGGCAAAAAGGGCTCTAGGGCGGGTGTGAGCCCTTTCAAGGCACCACACCACCCTAGAGGCCACAAAGCCCTTCCGGTGTGGTCAATTTCCAACCGGGAAAAATGGGCTCTAGGAGGGTGTGAGCCCTTTCGAGGCACCACACCACTCTAGAGCCCACAAGCCCTTCCGGTGTAGTCGATTTCCAACCGGGCAAAAAGGGCTCTAGGGCGGGTGTGAGCCCCTTTCGAGGCACCACACCACCCTAGAGCCCACAAGCCCTTTTTGGTGTAGTCAATTTCCAACCGGGCCAAAAAGGGCTCTAGGGCGGGTGTGAGCCCTTTCGAGGCACCACACCACCCTAGAGCCAACGAGCATCCGGATATGACCGGATGGATCGGATGCCTTTTCTTCCCCCCAGGGCAACCGCACGACCTAGTACAAGGCAAGGCGAGCACCCAAGGGGCAAGCTTATCGGGTTCGCCCGATCGAACCATCCGGAGACCCATCCTGATGGATCGACCGAACTCATCCCAACCCATCGACTGAACCCATCCGGATTCCAACCGTCGAGCCCGTCCAGTTTGATCCGATCGAATCCATCGGGATCAAACCATCGAGCCCATCAAGTTCCAGCGATCCAACCCATCCGGATCGATCGAACGAGCTTATCCGGATCGGTCAACCGAGCCCATCCGGATCCATCAATGGAACCCATCCGGATTCCATCGATCGAACCCATCCGGATCGATGGACCGAGCCCATCCGGGTCCATCGACCGAACCCATCCGGGTCGATCGACCGAGCCCATCCGGATCCATCGATCATGCGGATCGATCGGACAAACCCACAAGCCCTTCCGGTGGGTCCGGATCGATCGAACCCTTCCGAATCCAGCTCCCATTGGGATCCGAATCGATCGAACGGACCCAATCCGGACCCGGGCCGATCGGTCGGACCCATCCGAATCCAGCCCCATCCCGGATCCGGATCGATCGACCGGGCCCAATTCGGACCCAAATCGATCGACCAGACCCGTCCGAATCCAGCCCCCATCCGGATCCGATTTCGATCCACCGGGCCCCATCCGGACCCCATCGATCGAACCGGACCCATCCGGATCGATTCGATCCAACCCATCCGAATTTGACCCCATCCGTCTCCGAATCAATCGAGCGGACCCTATCCGGACCCGGGCCGATCGTCCGGACCCATCCGAATCCAGCCCCATCCCGGTTCCGGATCGATTTCGACCGGGCACCATTCGACCCAAATCGGATCGACCGACCCATCCGAATCCAGCCCCATCGGGATCCGATTTCGTTCGACTGGTGGCCCCATCCGGACCCCCATCGATCGACCGGACCCCATCCGGACCCCAATCGATTGACCGGACCCATCCGGCCCCGGGTCGATCGACCGGACCCATCCCGGATCGATCGATCGAACCCATCCGAATCCCAGCCCCCATCTGGATCCGAATCGAATCGACCGGGCCCTATCCGGACCCGGGAGACCCTCTAACTCCCAACCCTAGAAGCCAAAACCCCCCCAAACTTTTTTTAAAAGCCTCCCCCTTATCCTTGATCCTTAATTCCTTATTCCGTCAGTCATCATCCGTATGCACGATAGGGGGTCCCAAAAGAGAGGCGCCCCTTCTATATCGATCCTATCCTCGCGGGCGGGCCGAGCAAAGGGGGTTAGGGTTTTTTTTTTGGGCTTTAAGAAGATCCCAGGAGGAAACTAGCCCCCTTTCCCATGCCGATCCACCTGCGAGCCCCTGGGGGGAACCCCCTAGCGCCCGGAGACTTCACCCGTGTTGCGGACGGTAGGCGGTCTGGGCTGGCAGGTACCCAGCATGTGCAGTGCTCCGCAAAAACCCCGCACCGATCACCGTTGAAGCGCGTGCCCCATTTTGGGGACAGCCGTCCCAAACGGGCATTGGCATCAGAGGGAGAGGTAACACGTAACCCCCACAGTCGGCACTGATGCCGAGGCATGTACCATTGGAGGTAACGCGCCGCCAGGACGAATCCCGGTGTCGGTCCTCCATAGGCAGTCCGCCTCGACCTCCGTAGCGTCAAGGGGGGTGGAATGGAAACTCTGCCCTTCTTATACGGCAGCCCGCCCCATCGGAGGAGGGAGGGGTCCGGGGACCCAACCCTCCCGATGGGCCAACCGACCAACCCAACCAGCCGGCGCCCTCGCCCTCGGGCGCCCTTGCCCTTCTCGAATGCCAACTGCCCGCCGCCCTTCCTCACGGGCGTGCGGGGGCCCCCCCCTCCCTAAGCCCCAGGCGTTTAGGGTGGGAGGAAGGGGGGTCAAGAACAAGGGCTGAATCTCAGCGGATCGTAGCAGCAAGGCTACTCTGCCGCGTACAATACCCCGTTTGGTTTAAGTCGTCTGCAAATGATTAGTTTCCCTGAAATGGTTGCCGCTCTTGTTCCACGAGCGTCTCGGCATATGCTCTTGGGGGCGCACGAAGCGTCCCCTATTCTTAGCTAGGGTGAGCCCAGAGAATGTAATAACGCTTTCAGCTTGGATTCTGACTTAGAGGCGTTCAGTCATAATCCGGCGCATGGTAGGTTCGCGCCGCAGGCCGACCGGCCTGACGCAATTGCCAATTATGCGAATCAACGGTTCCTCTTGTACTAAGTTGAATTGCTGTCGCGGAACCGGTGCATCAGTAGGGTAAAAATAACCTGTCTTACGACGGTCTAAACCCAGCTCACGTTCCCTATTGGTGGGTGATCAATCCAACACTTGGTGAATTCTGCTTCACAATGATAGGAAGAGCCGACATCGAAGGATCAAAAAGCAACGTCGCTATTAACGCTTGGCTTCCGCAAGCCAGTTATCCCTGTGGTAACTTTTCTGACACCTCTACCTTCAAGCTCCGAAGAGCTAAAGGATCGATAGGCCCCGCTTTCACGGCTTGTATTTGTACTGAAAGTCAAAGTCGAGCGAGCTTTTGCCCCTTTGCTCCACACGAGATTTCTGTTCTCGTTGAGCTCGCCTTAGGACACCCGTGTTATCGTTTAACGGATGTGCCGCCCCGGCAGGTTGCCTTGCACCGATTCAACCACCTCCGCATAAAGCTGGGTAGGTAAGATTCGGGCCCCAGTGGCCGTTTGGCTCAGTTCGGTATGCCCCTCTTACGTATCGGGCTCAGATATGGTACTCGACATCGCTTGGTTTAATCCGTTCCACCAGTGTCCCAGTATCCACCAGCTTGGCCCAGGGTACTCGCCTTGGGCTCCATCTTGTCTTTTAGGGGCATGACCAAGGGCAACATCAACCCTTTTTCCATACTCTTAGCGCCTTCCCCTTTTTTGGTGTGGTGCTCATTTGTTAGATTATAGGTACGGGACTTTAACATGCCACACACTGGCTTCCAGTTTGAGCAAGCGTTGCCTTTCACGTATCCGAGTGGCTAAGGAGACGGGCTTCCTCAACCTCCACGACGAGATGTGAGTGGGCTGTGTTTCTCTACCAAGCGCTACAGACCGAGGCCTCACGCTCAAACCAGAGAAACAACCAGCACAGAACCCGGCGTTGCCACCGAGCCATCCCATTGCAGCCACAACAAGATACGAGTTGGGTTACATCTACCGAGTGCGACAGACTGAAGTCTGACACTCAAACCAGAGGCACTACCAACCCAGACCCGACATTGCGGTCGAGCCTTCTCGTCGTGAGTGGAAAGACACGATGCTAGAGACATCCACCGTAACTGAAACAGTCCGGCGATTTCTCCCATGCACTACGAAAGCATTAACTCCCACGTGGCATCACCATGCTTCCGATTGTCATTCCATGTTAAGAAAACTCTAGGACACACCGTCCTTGACCTACTAACATGTTCAGGGACCCGTGCATCATCCTGCGTCCAATCAAGATCGTCCACAGTCAACATGGGTCTCATTCCAGGTTTTTGGCCTCAAGTGAGCTTCGAGCTTTCCCCCTGAAAAAGAGTCGACCGTCTCAACCACTGCATATGAGTTTTGCCACTTGCACCGACATCAACTTCTTTATGGCAGTGGTCGAGCACCCATTCGGTTCAGACCCCTTGCGGGGAGTTCTCCGACTGGGTCCTCCTCTTTTTCCCTGGTTCCAATGGGCCTGAATCCTACCCTCCCCAACCCAGGGGTCAATGACGCCGCCTCGCAACGAGGGAGGGCCACCTAGCCACAGGCGGATTGGGATAGGAGACCGACCGCATATAACCAGTGTCAAGAAATTTGTAGGGACCGAGCGGACCCAAAGAATAACCGTCCTCCTTGGGTAATCTGCCTTGCATGTGGTTCGAGGGCCAGTTCCTCCTCTCCCCATTTTACCAGGCGATCCTCCACACCTGGAGAGCTTCCCGGCCACCCCGCTGGGGTCTGTGCGCACCAACCCTCCGAAGAGAGTCCATGCGCACGTCTCACGGGACGCTCCCCCGGATCACAGAGTGCCGCCCTCCGTGGCCCGGGCCGGTGCCTCATAGGACCTCATGACAAGCTTGAATTCATACCTAGGTAATCCGCCTTGCTTGTGGTTTGAGGGCCAGTTCTCCTCTCCCTGAATTATTACTAGGGAAAGGCCTCGGATTACCTTGGCTTACCGACTTTTCAAGCAACCGTCCTCCTCACAGATTAGTGAGAAGAGGTGAAAAGCCACTTCCCCCTAACCTTCTTACGCCAAGCACCTGGATTACGTTGGCTTACCGTCGCTTGAGGCAACCGGATAGCCCATGCCAAGGGTAGGGGAGAGGTGGAGCACCCTTACCCCGGGTATTCTTAGGCCAACCACCTGGATTACGTTGGGTTACCGTCATTTGGGGCAATCGGATGGCCCATGCCAAGGGTTGGGGAGAGGTGGAGCACCCCTCCCCTCCGGTATTCCTAGACCAATGACCTGGATTACATTGGATCACCATCATTTGGGGCAATCCAATGACCCATGCCAAGGGTTGGGGAGAGGTAGAGCACCTCTCCCCTTAGTATTCTTAGGCAAACCACCTGGATTACGTTGGGTTACCATTGTCTGGGGCAATCTATTCCCACATGCCAAGGGTTGGGGAGAGGTGGAGCACCCCTCCCCTCCGGTATTCCTAGGCCAATGACCTGGATTACGTTGGGTTACCGTTGTTTGGGGCAATACAATGGCCCATGCCAAGGGTTGGGAAGAGGTAGAGCACCCCTCCCCTCCTGTAATCCTAGGCAAATGACATGGATTACGTTGGGTTACCGTCATTTGGGGCAATCGGATGGCCCATGCCAAGGGTTGGGAAGAGGTGGAGCACCCCTCCCCTCCGGTATTCCTAGACCAATGACCTAGATTACATTGGTTTACCATCATTTGGGGCAATCCAATGACCCATGCCAAGGGTTGGGGAGAGGTAGAGCACCCCTCCCCTGAGTATTCTTTGTCAAACCACCTGGATTACGTTGGGTTACCCATTCAGATTCGGATCAATTGAACCCTTTAAGATCCAAACCCATCCAGATCCGGATCGATTGAACCCATCCGGATCCGAGTCGATCGAACCTATTCGAAACGAACCCATCCTTATCGAACCCATCTGGATCTGAGTCGATCGAACCCATTTGGATCCGGAAAAGTTGAACCCATTCAGGTCGAACCCATCTGGGTCCGGATCGATCGAACCCATTCAGATCGAACGCATCCTTATCAAACCTATCCGGATCCGGATCGATCGAACCCATTTGGATCAAACCCATCCGGATCCGGTTCGATCGAATCCATTCAGATGGAATCGATCCGGATCCGAGTCGATTGAACCAATCCGGATCCGAGTCGATCGAACCCATTCGGGTGCGGATCGATCGAACCCATTTGGAATCGGATCGATTGAACCCATCTAGATCCAGATTGATCGAACCCCATCCGGACCCGGGCCGATCGTCCGGACCCATCCAAATCCAGCCCCATCCGGATCCGGATCGATCGACCGGGCCCCATTCGGACCCGAATCGATCGACCGGACCCATCCGAATCCAGCCCCATCCGGATCCGAATCGATCGACCGGGCCCCATCCGGACCCGAATCGATCGACCGAACCCATCCGGATCGGATCGATCGAACCCATCCGAATCCAGCCCCATCCGGATCCGAATCGATCGACCAGACCCCATCCGGTCCCGGGCCGATCGTCCGGACCCATCCGAATCCAGCCCCATCCGGATCCGGATAGATCGACCGGGCCCCATTCGGACCCAAATCGACCGGCTGGACCCATCCCATCCAGCCCCATCCGGATCCGAATTGATCGACCGGGCCCCATCCGGACCCCAACCAATCGACTAGACACATCTTGATCGATCGATCGAACCCATCCGAATCCGACCCCATCCAGATCCGAATCGATCGATCGGACCCCATCCGGACCCGGGCCAATCTTCTGAGCCCATCCAAATCCAGCCCCATCCAAATCCACCCTAGAGCCCACAAGCCCTTCCGGTGTAGTCACTTTCCAACCGGGCAAAAGGGCTCTAGGGGGGTGTGAGCCCTTTCGAGGCACTACAACACCCTAGAGCCCACAAGCCCTTCCGGTGTGGTCAATTTCCAACCGGGCAAAATGGGCTATAGGGGTGTGAGCCCTTTCGAGGCACAACACCACCCTAGCGCCCACAAGCCCCCCCGGTATTCTTAGGCCAACCACCTGGATTACGTTGGGTTACCGTTGTTTGGGGCAATCCAATCCCACATGCCAAGGGTTGGGGAGGGTGGAGCACCCCTCCCCTCCTCTATCCTAGGCCAATGACTTGGATTACGTTGGGTTACCGTTGTTTGGGGCAATCGGATGGCCCATGCCAAGGGTTGGGAAGAGGTGGAGCACCCCTCCCCTCCTCTAATCCTAGGCCAATGACATGGATTACGTTGGGTTACCGTCATTTGGGGCAATCGGATGGCCCATGCCAAGGGTTGGGAAGAGTGGAGCACC